TATTACATCTGAATCTATATATAGATATACAAATTAAAGACTAACTAACGAAATGAAAACATACTCTGACTTCATGTAACTAATTGTAACAGTACTATAACAAACTTGTATCTAACTAACTTTGTGAATAGTGAACAGTAATAACTAACTTATATTCTCATCACCCCCCTCAAGTTGGAGGTAAGTAAGTTTACAGACAACGTGTGCAATAGTGTATTATGCTTAACTCAAGTCAAAGCCTTTGTAAAGATGTCTGCTAATTGTGAATCAGTAGAAATGTGATGAAGTGTAATCAGGCCTTGCTGAAGTTTATCCCTAACAAAGTGGCAATCGATTTCTATGTGTTTTGTCCTTTCATGGAAGATTGGATTTTTGACAATGTGTACTGCAGCTTGACTGTCACAAAACACCTGAATTGGCAAGGAGCAATTCACAGATAACTCATTCAGTAACCTTTCAAACCATACCAGCTCACATACTACTTGTCTCACGGCCCTGTATTCTGCTTCTGCAGAGGATAAAGAAACTGTGGCTTGTTTCTTAGACTTTCAACTGATAAGGCTATCACCCATAAGCACTAGATAACCACTGACTGACTTTCTTGAATCAGGACAGGCAGCCCAGTTTGAGTCACAATAGGCATTTACAGTAAGGTCAGGCTTGTTCAAGATGAAAATTCTCATTGTAGGATCTTGTTTCAAGTATCTCAGAACATGATAACTAGCCTTCAAGTATGGTTCCCTAGGAGTTTGCATGAATTGACTGAGATGTTGCACACTATAAGCTATATCATCCTAGTATTTGTAAGAAAATTGAGTTTCCCTATCAACTTCATGTAATGGGTAGGATCAGACAATAGTTCCCCATCTGTTGCCTTCAATTTCTCAGTATAATCAAGTGTCACGACCCGAGAGCACCCCTTAGTCGTAACTGGCGTACTCGACCTCTTGGAGGTCTAATACAAGCCTCTTAGCATTCATTCATCGCATAGATACTAAAAACCATAAGTAATTAAAAACTTTCTTCACACACGAAGATACTTTCATTAAATAACAAGCGGAAGACATTCTAGACTTTATACATGATGTCTCAAAACCATCTAATACTTGAATACAA